CAAAGCGAAAGCGAAATCGTGCCTGTTGGTCACAGCGCCTAGGTCGGAGCCAGGCTCAGCGGCACAAAGTTGCCAGCGGGCGCCCAGACCCCGCGTGGAGGTCGCCGCCACGCCCCGGCTGGGATAGCTTCCCACGGGGAGGCGAGAACGTGGCAGCGGCCGCGGGAGCCGGTAGCAGGAGGGCCCACCCCCTCCTCTAGGTTGCATCAGAAGAGACAGGAGTGAGAGTGAGCCAGAGTTTGTTGGCTGTGGCCTTTTAGTACCCGAGTTCTTTCCCACAGTCTTAGCCCTGGAGAGAGGCGCTTGAGACTTGTTAAAAGCGTCTCAAGACCAAACAGCAATGGGTAAGAGATGAATGAAGGGAGACAGTCGCCTGAGAGAGGCTTATTCCTTGGCCTGGCTCTGGGTCAGGGCAAGATGTTCTTGTCTGACCAGTCATCCCAGAAATCTCATGGGGAGACATAGAAATCAGAGTTTTAAAGGGGTAATTGGAGCTAGTACATGAGGGAACTGATGCACAGACATGGAAACTGATTCCTGGGGCTCTGCTTCCAGCATTATGGGTGAGGCACTCAATTTTTTGGCAACTGGTTGTTAGGGGCAAAAATGGCTGCAGAGTGGCTATAGTAGTGCATTGTGAGCTTAACTTGGAATCAGGAAATAAACCTGGGCAACATCTCAATACCCCATTCCCTGGTCCCCAGGAGACATTTGGACATTGTGGAGTTATCCTAAAACCTTTTAGAGGGACTAGTAGTGAAGACCAGGTGGAGGTGGGTAGGAATACAGCAATCGTACCTGTGGGTCACTAGAGCTTCCAGAGCCTGGCTCCTGGGGGTGGAGGATCTTCGTGTTCTGTTACTATTGAAAAGAACACAGCCTTCTCTGTACTACAGATAGGCCAAGAGTGTTCAATGGAAGAGGATAAATGATACCTATTATGTAGGTGCAACATCTGCCTGTTGTGATAAAAAGACCTTTGGACTTCAAAGTCACCTCTAAACACTATCTTTTATCTGGCAGGGAAGTACTTTCTCTCCTTGTTCGGGACTTAACAATAGGGGCCATTGATAATTCACTTTGTTTTATGCTTTGAGGCCCTGGAGACTGGTTTATTCTGGGGCCCTGATTGCAGCCTTTCTGCATTGTCTCTGAAAGGAGGAGGAGGGAAGAAAGAGTTAGGGACTGGAAACACTAAGTTTAGGGCTTCTGGCTTCGTTTAATTTCTTCATCAGGGTGGTTAGCGTAAGTGGCAGCTATGAGTGTTAATGGAATGCTCTGGGTTTGATCCTTGTGTGGAGACCTTGATTTTGTTCTTTTATTCATGTGGCAAGTATTGCCGTGGCTATTGTGATTGACATCTGGCAGATACAAAGATGTCTCAGGGTGCTGGCCATCCCATGTGAGGACAGGCCAATGATTTCAGGATTACTGTGTTGGTGACACAGTAAAACATCATTGTCCCTGTGTTTATCTGGGGCCCCTGGAGCTTCAGGTTGGAGAGAGGTGCTTGGGTCTTACGGGTGAGATGATTCAAAGGTTGATTGGTGTACAGTAGCAGAAAGGTGTTCCTGAAGCAAGGGGCCAACTTGTTTATCGGGGTTTTGAACTCTTGTGAGGCAGGATGGGTGCTGGACCCCTCAAAAGCAGAGAAGAGGAAATGGGAGGTAGAAGAGGAGGGAAAATAAAGGGCAGAGGGAAGGACCTCAAGGAGGCAGAGATGCTATCTGTGCGTTGGACAGGATGTCCTAATTCACAAACGTTGGGAAAGCCTGTCTGGGTGTTAGGACAGGAAAGATGCAGACAGGGTGGCAGCACCTGCCCTTGACCCCATGTTAAGGAAGGAACCAAGAGTAACATCTGGGTCCCTGGCCTGAGCCCCTTCCCTTCTAAGGTAATATGGACCAGAACTAGGCTAGGTCTTTTGGAAATGACTGGTCTAGCCTGGGACTAAGTATGATTAGTTGCCTCCCTGTCTCAACAGCCCCCTCCCACCAAGTCTGGGCTGCTGAGGGAGGAACTTGGCTGGATCCAGGCAACTTTGTTTCTGTCACTTGGCCATCTATTGAAAACACACATCGTCATTAAGATCTCTGGAAACATCATGAAGATCTCTGAATGGTTGTGACGTAAAGCCACAGGCTGCATACAGTCTCGGTGGCTTCATACAATCTTAGCAAAATATAAATTACTTTCCAAAGTTGGGAGTGAGTTCAACTGTCCACCCAGTTTCTGGTTTCTCTTGGCTGACAGGGGAACTCCATTTGCCCTAGGCCTTTCCTGGAGGCTTTACTCATTTAACATTTTTGCTGAGAATTGGAATTTTCCTTCCATTCGTGACCAACATTGTTGTCCTGAGGAAAGGACCCTCCTCCATTGTTACATTTCTTGTCACTTGGGTGTTTCTGCTTACACTGGGAAAAGTGAGGCTCAGAGACTGGCTTGCGATCCCACAGAATACAGGAGGCAGAGTGTTGTGACTAAAGTGTGCAGAGTCTTATCTACATTCCGTTTCCTTCCTCAGGTTCTTCCTCTTGTGACCTTTCAAAAGAGGTCAAGATCACTCCTATTACTCCAGTAAACAGTTTTAGAGTTCTTGCTGTATATCAGACTGAGCTATGCCCTGGGTGTTGATTGGTGTAAATTAAATGCTATTCTTTCTTCAAAGGAGGGTTACATGGTCTCATGACATTGCCTAGGGTTCTGTTTCTCAGTGGTGTTGGGTAACCAATGGGCAATGTGTCCTCAGGATTGTCCTGCCTACACAGTATAGAATGAATTCTGCAGTGTCCGCCTGAGGCTTCCCCAGGGAAGCCTGAAGATGCATGAGATTTAGTTTTCGTTCCAGATCTGTTAAAATTGTGCTTGAAGGGATGATTTAAAGTGGTTAATAATGTCCCCAGGTTCCAGAGAAGTGATCCGGGGCTCCTTGGATTCCAGTAGGAGATGATGACTTTGTTTGTGCTCACTCTACATACACTCTTTACCTTTCCCACCAAAAGTTATGAGTTATATTTTGAACTATATTTATAAAGAACTAAGGAATTCAGATCCCATTTTTAACTAATCAGTATTAACTGTTAATCAGAACTGCTACTGACAAGAAAATTTATCACTGGGGTTGATAGAATTCTCACCCCAAAGAAAGAATCTGAGTCGTTCCTGGCCTGTATGACCTCATCCAGGTGTGTGAAACCTCTGTTACACATCGGCACTAACTTGTGGGTGGGTGTTCAGGAGTTTCCCATAGAGCTGGCTCTCCCAGCTAGGGACTGTTTCACTCAGAGATGGACAGATGGTGAGTTTCAAGACTCAATTTTGCCCAGAACTAGTGCTTAGAATGCTTCAGTAGAATCTAGTTGGAAATTCCTGGGACCCAGGCCATGGTAGAGCTGAAAACCCAAGTGGACACAGTGGTCTGCACCCAATAGCAGGGGTGCTGAGGTCCTTCAGCTGCCAGAGGGCCAGGTTTCTGGTCACTTTACCTGACAGGATTGGTTGTCTCAGGCTTCTTAAGTTTCAAATCCTTGAGTCCAAGGTGGTAGGATGGACAACAAATCCATCATCCTCTGATTAACATAGAATTTCCTGTTGTTGCATTGTACCTCAAGCTAAAAAGAATATGTACTCAACCCAATTACACCTAGCTGTATGCTCTTGGAAACATCATTCCACTTCCCTGGGCCTTGGTTTCTATTAAAGTGAGGGAATTAGACTACATTGGGGAACACAATACATTTTGTCTTCCAGGTCAGTTCTCATCAGTTGGTAGTGGCAGTCTCCAAAGTCCTGAGCTGAGAATTCTGAGTTTATATCTGGGTTTCAAGATGTCTGCCACTGGCCCTGGTTCCGGGGAGGAGAAGAGATGTCATCCTTGGAAAAGATGAACCTTAAGACCATTCACTCTATCAAAGGACCGTTAGATCACTGATTGGCTGAATCTGTCTTAGTATTTTATAACATTTAAGACTAGAAATTGCTTGACATTTTGCTGGACCAAGACCATACATGTCTTGATTATGGTCTTGAGGGAATATTTTTATCATTATTATTCCTTTTTTTTTTTTTAAACTACAGGAAAATTGTTGATCGAATTGACAGTGATGGAGATGGTCTCGTCACCACCGAGGAGCTGAAAGTTTGGATCAAACGGGTACAGAAAAGATACATCTATGATAATGTCGCCAAAGTCTGGAAGGATTATGATAGGGACAAAGATGAAAGGATCTCCTGGGAAGAATACAAGCAGGCTACCTATGGCTACTACCTAGGTAAGAGGTGCCACAGTGGAGATTGCAGTAGGGAACAAGCTCAGGAGATTCTGTCATCATGGCTACCCTCTTTCAGCCAGATGTCACATCCTTCAAAGTAAAACCTGTTGTGTAACATCCTCCTCTGCCTACTAAGAATGTACCAAGTTGCTTCCTTTGACTGACATAGGGGAAGGTGTCTTAGGTCATGGCCCAGCTTAAACTTAGTTCTCAGAGATGCACACAGAGAAGAAAGGAAAAAGAAAATTTGCTTCCTTCAGTTTCAAATTGCTGCTGCAGTTGGGTAGTAAGGATGAAGTATGCTGGAACCATCATGAGGAAGGACTTCATGAGAAGGGGGCTTTGGAAACTGGGCTTTGAAGAACGGATGTCAGTTTGGAGAGATGGAGAGACTGTGGGGGAGATGGCAGAGTTGGAGGGGCAGAGGCACAGAAATGCATGCATGCATGGTTAGTAGATTAGAGGAGTGTGGTACAGATCCTCCAGATGCCTGGTAGACAGCTGGGAGACAGGCTTGGGGAGGAAGGAAGATAATCAAAGCCAGATTCCGAGAGCTTGAAAGCCAGCAGAGGCATTTAAAAAAGGTATTCTAGAACACACCGGGGATCCTCATAGGTTCTAGTGATGTGATGAATGTAGAAATCTGTAAATAGAGCTCTGGAATTGTGTGGTCCAAAGCCTGTGCTCCTGAGTGTTTGCTGTAAAGCCCCTAATGGGCAAGAAGGCTTCGATTATGAGATGACTTGGAGGGAAGCGAGATGCAAAGGGCCTTTTAGAGAACCCAGTGGGTGGTCAGATCTTTTGTGTGTGTGAAGAACGAATGATCTGGAACAAAAGGTCCTCCTTACAAAGGTTGACCATTGCTGTGTACACCCTGCAGGAAACCCCGCTGAATTCCAAGATAGTTCTGATCATCACACCTTTAAAAAGATGCTGCCACGGGATGAGAGAAGGTTTAAGGCTTCAGACCTTGATGGCGACCTGACGGCTACTCGGGAGGAGTTCACTGCCTTTCTGCACCCAGAGGAGTTTGAACATATGAAGGAAATTGTAGTTTTGGTGAGAACAGGGGAAATGCAGACTGGGAAAGGACTGTCCCCTCACCTTGTCCCCTTTCCCAAAGAGAGACTCTTTCAGCCTGCTGGGAATTGGGGAAGGACTGAAGTTGAATATGTCAAATCTCTGTCTGGCCAGGAAGTAGTCAGAATGAGCACTTAGCTGCAGTAACAAATGCCCCAGCTGAAACCATTCAATACAAAGTCATGAAGGCAGATCTCAACACTAGATGGTACCCAGGCTGCCTTGGTCTTCAGTTCTGCCATCTTTGGGCTTCAGGGTTATCCTGGGAACAGCCAGAGGGCAGACAAAGGACAGAGACAGAATGGAGAAATGTGATAGCCTGCCTTCAGTATTCAGGCCAGGGGGGGAAAAAAAGATGTATGTACCTGTTGTGTTCTTGCCCCACTTAGATCTGTAGAGGCTGAGAGACACCATTTAGACAGGCATTCAGAAAGCTGATGGGTTAGTGAGCAGCTAGCTGGACCCTGCTCATTTTTTTGTTGCTGGAATTCTTTTATAGTTTCCTTTTTTTTTTTCTTCCATTTTTGGTTGGTTGGTTTGTTTTCAGCTTGAAAGGAATAGAAACCTTCTGGAAACCTAAAGTGAATTTTTGGCTAGAAAGGCTGCTACTTCCAGCAGTGGTCTCGAGCGAGCAAATGGCTCAGAATCCAGGCTTATAAGCTGGTCGATGCTTGTCAAGCGTCTTCGTGTCATTGCCTTCCATAGTGTTCCTTTGAGTCCCCTGTGTCTTCATTTTTCATGACATTTAAATAAATGCCATCACCTATTTCCTGGAGAGAGTCAGATCCAATTGCTGGGAAGTTGTTGGGGAAAGAAGTTGCTCTTTAACAGCTCTGAGTATGAGATAGTCAACCAATGATAGAGTCCACCCTTGCCTCAAGACTGCCATGACACCAAGGACTGCGCAGTCGTCCAAGAATCATTTCTCTTTATCACACAACGTCCATTTAGTGACAACTAGTTTTCCAGAGGACAGTGGAGATGGAATTTGCTACTGGGGAATTGTTTGCCTCCAAGCAAGATTGGTGCTCTGGACTCAAGCTGTTTTCTTTGACTTGGGATGTCCTTGAATTGCTCAGCCAATGGACAATAAATTCACTAAGTTACTGATGCTGGGGGGGGGGGGGGCGGACAACTAAAAGTCAAATGTAACTAGAGTAGAATACTTTCATAAGTCAGTTAGTTATGCCTCTAATGTTTAATTCTCTATAGTTTTATATGTCCCTGACACCAGCTAAGTATTCCTAGCTTTTAGCTATGGAATCTATTTTTAAGGTCCCTCTAATAGGTGTTTCTTTCATTGTTTTCTCATGGACTCCTAGGGGCGATGTCTGGTGATGGTTGTTGGTTGGTGTGGCGGGGCTTCTTGGGAGCATCATGCTCAGCTGAGTTTATAGATACCATTTTCTTTGAAGAAAGGGTTCTGCCCTTGAAATTCTGGAGAGATGATATGGGGATACCAACCACCACCTGTTCTTTAGTGTAATGAGCTGCCTGGGAGCTAAGAGAATGAGGCATGAGTCACCAAGTGTTTAGCCATTTAAGCCAGACAAAGAGGGCAGTAGGAACCTTGGACTTGCTTCAAGCACGTGGCCATCTTGTGTGTTTCCCCCTTGCTCCCTAGGAAACGCTGGAGGACATCGACAAGAACGGGGATGGCTTTGTGGACCAGGATGAGTACATTGGTGAGTGCTGGCTGCAGTGGCTCAGTATCCACTCTGGGCAGCATTCTTCTCCACCCGCTCCCACCCATAATCTGGTGGCCTCACTTCTGGGAGCTCCCAATAGAGGAGGCCCTTCAGCCCTATTTGTTGCATTAGCCCAGTTGGTGCAAAGCGAGTAATTAAGGTTCCCCCAGGAGAAAAAAAGCAAAAGGACAGCCAGGAGCCAGTACCACAGGGCTCAGGGGTGCTCTTTGTCACACTGCTGTAGAAGTGGGATTGGAGAGCCACAAATGTACAGCCAGACTAAAATAGGGGAGAGAAGTAGACTAAAATTAGATGTGGGCCAGCTAGCTTAGGAGCTCAGACTGTGTGGTCATTTGCCAGTTACAGGCAAGTCCTTGTCAGGGAGGTAAACCTTTCTGTGGTGTGCACAGTTGTCCCTTATTAGAGCCACTCAAACTCTGGTGTTCCATCTCTGGCTGGGAGTACCATATTTGGCATTTTCTTTTAGAGAAACGTCAGGGAGAATTGCCTAACTGAAACTCAGATCCACAATAGCCAGTAGTTCCCAAGCACAAAAATCTGCAGCCAACATGGAAATTTCCATGTGATCCCCACTGACAGTACCGCTGTGGCACGTGGCTCCAACCTCAGGCTGTCATCTTGTAAGAGCCCTCTTTCCTGTCTCAAGTAAAAGCTGGAGAAATAACTCCATTAGGTACTGACTTCTGGGAAGAGATGGGAAACTTTTGTGAATGCATTTAACAGATGCAGTTACTTACCTTTAGATTATAATACTGAGCCCAAGTTGCCCCATCCTCTGGTTTGCAGTTGTACGATTTTGTACCCATGTATAAAGAGAAGCACCTTTGGTGATGATTGTGAAAAGTCATGGTCCTGGAACTGAACACTTCTGTCTGTCATGGGTAACAGCCAGGTAGCTCTTTGCCTCAGTATTTAAAGTGATCTTGTTGACTGTAGCTTTGTACAATGAGGATGCTAATAGGGACCTCATCAGTGCAAGCGGTGGAGCCTTCCTCTTGAGAGGTCCATAAGGGAACGGAGGGTTTAGAGCTTCAGACCTGTCACCATGACAGCAGTGATTGAATTGGACAGAGAGAAAGGCTTCCTGATAAAAACAAACAATGTGGTGCTTTTGATTAACAGTGTAAGCTCTTGATGGCCCTCCTGAACTCTGCCATGAGATGGTGCCTGCCAGGGGCAAAATTCTGAGTGGCTTTGACTAAAAGACACTTTTCATTGTGTGCACTGTGCGGAGAGTGGGGGAGGTATTCAGCAGCCAATAGTGAGAAAGACTTTATATATGAACTTGTCAGGCAGTGGAACTGATTTCTAGGCTGTTCTCACTTTAGGTAAACCAAGGAATTGCTAGTGTGGTGTACTGGAAAGGGTTCTGGGATCAGGAGCCCTGGCTTTTCCACCCACTGACTGTAAGACCCTGAGAGATTTCGGAAATTCCTGTCTGCGTCAGTTTTCTCTTGTTACACGAGGACAAACAGCACCCGTTCCTGCAGGGTTGAATGAAGCTCAAACCAGCTAATGTGACAGTACTTTTTCAATTTTAGTGTTCAGGGGTGGGCTCAGTTAACGTAGTGCTTGTTGTGAAATCACGAAGACCAGAGTTAATATCTCCAGCATCCATGGAAAACGTTTGGAGTTGTGGCACACACCCAGCACTTAGAAGGCAGAGAGAGCAGGACCCTGGGGCTCGGTGACCAGCCGGTCTCACCAGTCAGCGAACTCCTGGTTCATTAAGAGAGACCCTGTCTCAGAGTACAAGGTGAAATAATTTGATGAAGACACCTGATATAAACCTTTGACCACCACACACATAGGGTACACAGGAACATGTATACACACATACACACACAATACAAGTATCAAGCTATCAGGCATGATTGTTTTTCTTTCTGAAATGTTTTTTTGGGTTTTTTGTTTGTTTGTTTGTTTGTGCCAGTCAGTCACCTTTGGACACTAGTTCTTAGTCAGGATTTGAAGATTCAGCCACTGTTGAATTCTTCATGGATGGGAGTGGGGCAGGTGGTTATACTCAGTTGTGCAATGCAGTGACCCTTCTTCAGTGGTACTTGCTGTGTTGCCCCTTATGTTTGAGTTCCTGGTAAGAGATGCAGTAGCTGAAAACCACGTAGGCTGCCAGCACCCTGTTAATCCCGAGATGCTGCCTTCCCACCCGTTGATGTACTTGTAATACTGGTCGTGACCTCTACGAAAGGCTCCCACAGTGCCACTGGGGGGTGAAATTCCACATCAATATCCAGCTTGGCTGCTCTCCAAGCTTAACCTCCATGAGCTTCTGTTTCAGGGGCACAAGGGACTTCATTTTGAAAACCTAGTGTCCTCATATCCAGCTGTGCTCAAGGGCTGCTGGGAAGGGAATCATTGTATAGGTCTTTCCAAGATAGGATTTCTCTGTATACAGCTTAGTTGTTACACAGAACTCACTCTGTAGACCAGGCTGGCCTGGGACTCAGAGATCTGCCTGCCTCTGCCTCCTGAGTGCTGGGATCAAAGGTGTGAATGCTGGGACTAAAGGCATGGAGCTACCTTGTGGCTTTTCTTCTTTTCCTGCTTCCTTTAAGTGCCTGTTCAGCTGATGACTGACTTTCCTTTTATATTGAAACTTTATACAAAGAGCCTTTTTTTTTCTACTTCGAAACATTTTTTTCCCAAATTGAAACTTTATAACCAAAAGCTTTTTTTGTTCTACACTGAAATCTTACCAAAAAGAGCTTTGGTTTTTGGATTTTTTTTTTTCTTCTGTATTGAAACTTTTTTCCAATTAAGGTTTCAAAATTGTGTTTCCATCAAAAGGAAACCACCCATGGACTGTGAGTAGACAATAACAAGACAATGTATGAGAGCTAGACACAGTAGAACACACCTTTAATCCCATCACTTGGCAGGCAGAGCCAGGCCAATCTCAGAGTTTTCCAGGCAGCCTGATCTCTAGAGCTTAGAGTTCCAGGCCAGCCTGGCTATCTAGTGAAACCCTGTCCCAAAAGCACAAAACAAAAAGCCGTGTTTGAATGTTCCCTTCCTCATTTTTCCTGGCATTTTATAAAATTTTGATAATGATCTAGCTTATAGTAATTGGTAGAGGGGTGCATAAAATAAAAGAAAGCCCTTTGAAAATGAGGCAAGCTTTGATAATCATAGCAGGGATATGGGGGTTGGCAGTGAGCCCACTGTGGTCCTGTGCAGCCTCCAGTCAGACAGTGGGTTGCATCTTCACATCATGTTCATTTGTAAAATGGGAGAGCAGCAGCTACTTCAGATGACGTAAAGGAACTGAAAGGAAAATGTATATAGTCACTTCCTAATGTACCTGGGCTGGGGAAAGTACCCAGTATTGTTTTGTTTGCTTTCACCTTTATAGTGCCAGTTGGCATAGAGGCTTATGGAATAGAGGTTCTCCAGAAGGAGCCCTTTGGTCTTCATAAACATGATTTAACCATTATTATCTCCATTTTATAAGCTTTGGGCTCAGACACTGAACTAAGAGATCCTAGGGCTCATCTTCTGAATTCTAACCAAGTCTTCCTGTCACACCTCATGGTGTCTTGCATAGATTAGTGGCCATTCCTCAGCTCTGTACCCAACTGTGATTTAGCACTCTCCACAGGTCATCACCCTTCCAAAACCTCAGGGGTCAAGTTTTTTGTCTTCTGTAACTGAGAACAGCTTTGCCTTCTAGCGGACATGTTTTCCCACGAGGACAACGGCCCTGAGCCAGACTGGGTTTTGTCCGAACGGGAGCAGTTCAATGATTTCCGAGATCTGAACAAGGATGGGAAGCTGGACAAGGATGAGATTCGCCACTGGATCCTCCCTCAGGACTATGACCACGCACAGGCTGAGGCCCGGCACCTGGTTTATGAGTCAGACAAAAACAAGGTAGCTTCCACACTCAGAGCCATTGATTGACAGGAAGCAGTTTGTTCAAGATTGGGTTTATTTGCCTTGTTAGCGATAACATTGGCTCCATTTGGCTGTGTGCCTGCACCCTCCGGTAGAAACCTGAACATTACTTACGCCTGTACAGTGACAGCTACAGTGAGGAACTTAGGCTTCATCTTGCCTGGGCTATGTACTAAAATTACTAAGTCATGAATGAGCTCCAGGGTGGGATGTTAAAGCATTAATATCTTTGATATAGTCCGGGCATGGATTTGAGAAATTAACACAGTAGTATGACCTGAGGTGAGCTTAATCCTCCCTTCATGCAGTCATCAGATATTCCTTGTTCCGTGTGTGTGTGTGTGTGTGTGTGTGTGTGTGTGTGTGTGTGGGTGTTGGGGGGGGGGCTCTAATGATTGCCAGTATTTCCATATCCTCTGATAGGTATCTAAGTAATTAGGGGCTGGGAGTGTTTATAGCTCAGGAGTAGAGCACTGGGCTATCATGAGTCAGACTCAGACTCTGGGTTCCGTCCCTAGTAGTATAGTAATTTTAATTTGTTAGAATCCAAGTGGTAAGATTAAGACAAAATTCCTGCCTCATCTGACTTTGTTACTTGCCCCATCTGCAGACCCACATGTTACATAGTGGGGCCATGAAAGGGAAGTGGGATCCCTATAGCCGGTTCCGGGAATGCCCGCACTGCTTGTGGAGGCTGTCCATCTTCTGAACTCTTGGGGACCTGCCTGAGGCACTCACTGTAGCACAGCTTTCACAGACCAGCTTGGAGGTTAGCATGGCAGTCACGGGAGATGGGAGGGGAACACCAAAGCTCCTAGGCTATTAGATGTGCTGTTTGTAACTCTGCAGATCAGTGAAACAAGGTGGGCAGAATGACGAATGGTAGGCATAGCGCTCCCAGCACCTCCTGACAGCTCTTCTGTCTTCCCACAGGATGAGATGCTAACCAAGGAGGAGATTCTAGACAACTGGAACATGTTTGTGGGAAGCCAGGCTACCAATTACGGGGAAGATCTTACAAAAAACCACGATGAACTCTGAAAAAACGCTCATCCTGTTGTGGCCGACTGTGGGGGCATTCTTCAGGTGTGCTGGGCGGGTGCTACAGTTGTCAGGTGCACAGCAGTTGTGTCCCTAAACAAGGAGATTATTCCTCAGATTGGGGTAAAAATGAGCTTTCATTCCATATTTACTGGAAAATAGCCATTGCTGTTTATTCCAGTAGGATTTCCCCTGAAACACATTAAAATCTTGGCAATTGCATTTCTCTTGGGGGAAACAATTGCTACGATGTGGCTTACTAGTCTGACCTCTCCCAACTTTTTAAAGGAACAGGAAGAAAATGTGAAAGGCTTCAGTTGCTGGGGGTGGAGCACGCCATGCAGAGTGACTGATCCGTATTTGAACTATGAGATTTTGGATTTTATCATTGCCACTGTTAAACAGTGGTGAAGGAAAAGTCTGAAGAAGTAAATGTTGTATTGTCCTAGGTCGGCTAACCTTGGAGCAGGCATAAGTATTTCAAATGCTTTATGTTTTGAGCTGTTACTGTAAATGGTATATAAACTTTTATGTGTTTCTTCTGTATGGGCCTGCTAATGTGCACAATAATACCATATCTTTGGATTTTTTGTTTTTATACTAAAAAGCAATCAAAAAAGATAATGTGAACAAGAAAGGAATTTTAGAGATGAATGCCAGGTATTTAAAAAACTGTATGACCATGGTCAACACTTTAACTATACTTGAGAATTTTTTTTCATGTTAATGAGCAGGTCTAGTTTTTGAAATAGTGAATAGAAATACAGTTCTTTCCTGGGTGTGAGTCTGTGCAGGTCAAGGGAATCCAGAGGTAGTGGCATTTATTGCTTGTTGAGTCCTCAGTCTTTGAGTCTGCTTCCAGCATCGCTTATGTGAAGAAAACAGGCCAAGGTGATAATCTAAGCCATTGACCAAACTAGCTGGAGTAACGGTTTGCAGATGAAATTCCACCTCAGGAATTGAACGGGAGGTGAATGGAATAAAGGATACCCTTGAGGATTTCCCAGTGTGTCTTGTGGTGTTTGACGTCATAAAAAGTGTGGTTTCATTATTCCTCTTGAATTAAACAGTAATAGGCATCCATGGGTCAGATTGACACGGATTAGGTTATCAGCAAGTAAAAATCTATCTGTAGCTGCTGACTTCACCACCGTGTGCTTCATGTCAGTCTCTGAAGTTAGGCAACTTGGTGTCATTTTCATAGTAGCATCTTTCTAAGACAGGTTTTAACTGGAAAATCCAGACCTCTGACCATTACCTGTGAGGCCTGCCTGACAGGATCCAGCCCTGCCTACCCCTGAGCACTGCCCATTTACTCCCCCTTTTTCCTCACGTTTCTCTCCCGCCCCCTTACTCCATGTTCCACCCCCACTAACTTTGCTGTCCTGAGTACATTTAAGTGTTGCTAAGATTCCCTCTCTGGGTAAGATGAACAATGTCCTAATGAGAAACCAAAGAGTGGTTCCACCAGAGTTCACCATGGGGAAGCAAAGAGCCTGCTGGGTTTGCATACAAAGCGTGGATGAAGAGGTACTGACAAGAACAGCCATGCTGCAGATGCTGCATGGACTATATAGCTTCCTCACAGCCACAAAAACCCAAACCACAAGGCCACATTTCAGTTAGGTTAGGACAGAATTGCATACACATGACCAGAAGAGCCCCCAGATACTCAGTCGAGGGCCCACTGACCCTCTCCAGAAATCCTCATGGACCCTCCCAAGTAGGCATAGCTGATCTCATGAAGAAGGAGGATATTTGGCTCTGAGGATGACATTTTAGGTCCTTCACAGGTCAAGCCCTTTGCACCTCCTTCCCCTTCAGATTCAGGACATGTACCCTGCCCCCATCTCTCACATTCCCCTCAATGAGGCCTTTCAGACTCCACATTTAAAAGCCCCAACTCTCTCCCTACCATGCCCTGGTATGTTTCATGCCTTGGTGTGTATTAGACCTTTAGATAAGGCGGGGCATTGGTGACACACACTTTTAATTCCAGCACTTGGGAGGCAGAGGCAGGTGGATCTCTGTGAGTACAAGGCCAGCCTGGTCTACAAAGCAAGTGCCAGGATAGGCTCCAAAGCTTCACAGAGAAACCCTGTCTCGAAAACGACCCCCACAAAAACAAAAACAAAAACGAAAAAAAACTTTAGATATGTGTGTTTTCTGTCATTACCATGACAGAGTGGATTGCTGGGACAGAAACTTAACCCTCATGGTTCTGGAGGCCACAGTCAGAGGTGAAAGTGTCAGACAAGTAGAGTTAACTCAGTTGATAGTGCTTACACCTGGTGTCTGTGTTTTGAAGTGCAGGCTGACACATGCTCTTACCTCAGTGTTAGGAAGCCTAGCCCTGGGCTTGCTGGCAGCCAGCATAGCCTACTTGGTGAGTTCCAGCAAGTGAGAGAACCTGTCTCAAAAACACAGGTGCACAGTGCCTACGGCATGGCCGTGGAGGTTGTCCTGTGGCTGCCACACACACTCATGCATGCACATGTGCACACACAAACAAAGTGCCTTCCAAAGGCCCAGTGCAGACTCCCCCCAATCCTTCCAGCTTCAGTAACTCGGGGTTCTGTAGCTTTTGCTCTGTTGTGTCACTGCCTCTGTCTTCAAGCGGACTTCCTCTCTTTTCTGGCCATCTTCCTCAGTGATAATGCCCTTTACAAGGGCTTCTCTTTGGGTCATCTTGAGATCCTTCCATATAAGGTCACATACAAAGACTCTAGGGGTTGGGGTTGAGGGTACCCTACTTACTGAACTATCAGATATTACCTTGCTTGCACAGCCCCATCCAGCCTTCCAAGCTCAAGACATGAAGCACACTGAGGACAGTGGTCTGTCTCATTGCTCCTGAGGACCTGAAATAGTGGAGTCTGCATTCCAGACATTGTCAAGGCCCAAATTAAAGTCTAATTGCCAAAAATCTCAGCGATTTAGCATGGAGTCGTACTGCACTAAGTCTGGTTCTCATGTTCTCATGTCTTTGTTCCCACTGGTATATGATTGTATAGCTGGAAGCCTCTAACTCTTCTGAACTAAAATAGGCTGTTTCTCCTGCTGACTCACTTCCTTTCTCTCCCCTCCCTTCTCTCTGTTGTTCCCTTCCTCTTTTCTTTCTTTCTTCTCTTCCCTTCTGCCTTAGGGCTTCTGTTGCTGTGACAAAACACAATAATCAAAAGCAATTTGGAGAGAAAAGGGTTTATTTCATTTTACACTTCCAGGTCACAGTCTATCCCTGAGGGAAGTCAAGGCAGGAACCTGGAGGCAGGAGCTGATGCAGAGGCCATGGAGGGGAGCTGCTGACTGGCTTGGTCCATGTGGCTTGCTCAGCCTGCTTTCTTATAGCACCCAGGACCACATGAGAGATGTTTTGTCCACTGTGAGCTGCTCTCCCCCCAGCACACACACACACCAATCATCAGTCAAGACAATGCACCACAGACCTGTCTGTTGGGGCATTTTCCCTCCTTCCCAAATAACTCTAGTTTGTTGGCAAGTTGACGTAAAACTGTCCAACATAGTTTCCTCTCCCTTTCCCTTTTTCCTCTCCCTCCCTTCCATCTTCCCTTCCTTCCACTTTTCCTTTCTCCTCCTTCCCTCCCTCTCTTTCTTTAAAACCATGCCTCACTATGCCGCTCAGGCTGACCCTGAGTTCAATTTGTGATCTGCCTGCCTTCCTCTCCCAAAGTGCTATGTATCGTCATACCCGATAACCTTTTTTTTTTTTTCCTTTTGAAGGGTTAGACCCCAACTTTAGCAAAATGACAATGTAGCATTGTGTAGCCAGGTCCAGTCATAGCAGTTTTACAAAGTGCTCATTATTTTCCCCTGCGAATGGAATCCTAGCTGATTTATTAGGTTGTGCATAGTAGGACACTAGGTGCATTTGGAGCATTAAGATTTTCCTTTCAAGCCAGTGCACACAAGAAGACTAATACTCAGAGACTGGAGCGTCTGAGGCTGAATTTAACACTATTTAAAGAAAGAAAACCTTAGCCAGGGGACATAACTGTTAACATGGTGATTTGTAAAACCCTGGATTTCTAATAAGGTCTGACTGTTTCAAGGAAAACATATTTTGTTTCTAGGTAACATTTCAAGTCTTATTATGAACAAACACTACCAAATTGATTTGTAATGGGCAATACTGTAATGTCACAAGGCATTATTTAATGCTTAATGTGACTGAAAGCATTAATTGCTCGGAGCCATATTCTGTCCAAGCAGAACACGAACACACATTTTGTACCTCGTCTCTTACTGTAGGTTTTCAGATGAATTCGAGTGTAACAAAAGGCACTTAGGAAAGCCGCACTGTCTGTGGGCTTTCTTCACCTGCTCGGATTAGCACCGTCAGTCTCCTGTTAGGGAGCACAGGAGTCATCCCTGCTCAGAAGTGCCCGGTAACAAGAACTACCCGAAAGCTCAGCTAGCACATCTTGTGAAGCAGTGAACAGCTAGTGATTTCTTTTTAAGGCTCTGGGTTTATTTAGTCACTTTTATAATAACATCCTAGCTTCCTCCAAGAACATGCAGTTGAGACTTGGCTCTATCTGCAGCCTTAAAGTGAGTTTAGAGTGCTGGAATTGCCCACTAAAAGCCAGTGAGTGGCATGATGTTCTTGGCTTTGGCTCATGCTGAAAAGAGTATGCCAGCATATTTCAGCTCCTGGAATTTACCTAGTCCTGAGGCTGTTTCCAAAGAAACTCTCCCGACTCAATTCTGGTGAGTTCCAGGGGACACTCTAGGTCCAACATATGCCATCATCCCTTGCTCTTTATTTACCATTGTAATTTTTCTCACATAACATAGAAAGTGATTTCTGGTTCACTATAAAAGCATGGAAGAGAAAGGTAACCATTGTATATTTGTCTGCCTTGAGGGTGTGTAGTGGGCACACATAGCATGTTCGTTCTTCTGGGAAACTGCTGCCGGCTGTCTCCAGGTATCAGGGAAGGGCAATCCTGCTGCCAAACCTTGGTGGTGTCCCCATTTCACAAATCAAAGAATTACAAAGGGAAGCAGTGCTGAAGTCACACAGCTCATTAAAGAGGTGACTGTGTAAGTGCCCGGGTTCAGACACTTTTGCCAGTGTCTCCCTGTATCCTGAGCCACTTTTCTGTCCACTCTGGGCTTTAGACAGATCCAGTCCATCCTTGTTCTGGCTGTGCTTCTCACAGGATGGAGGAGTCCATGATCCAAAGGGATTTTACTGACTCAGGGTAATCTCTTCACCATTGCATTGCATAGACACTGACTTAAGAGCCCCTCAATAAAAGACATTACAGTCACTACACTATTTAAAAACTCATGGCAGAACATGGTACAACACAGAGACTCAGGAGCACTGTGATGAGATGAAGAGTCTGTGTGACAGAAAGGTGGGCCCAGGGCTGGGGCCCAGTCAATAAAGTGTTTGCCTCACAAGGTCCTGAATTCAAACCCTTAAAAACTGCCAGGTGAAGGAGGTGGGCTTTTGTCTTAGTTACTGTTCTATCGCTGTGAAGAGACACCATAACTAAAGCAATCTTTAGAAGAAAACATTTATTTGGGGGCTATTGACAGAAGACTAGCCCATAATCATCGTAATAGGGAGAGTGGCAGCAGGCCGGCATGGTGTTAGAGAAGTAGCTGAGAGCTTTACATCCCGATCCTCAGGTAGCAGGCAGAAAGAAAAACACTGTGCCTGGTGTGGACATTTTAAACTTCAAAGACCACTCTGCATGATACATCTCTTAAATTGTCTCAAATAGTTCCACTTCCTGGTGACTAAGTATTCAAATATATGAGCCAATAGGGACCATTCAAGCCACCATACTTTGTAATCCCAGCACAGAGAGGCAGAGACAGGTGGGTCTCTGAGGCTCACTGGCCAGACAGACTCATGGGTGAGCCCCAGACTAACAAGAGACTGTAGGGGAAGCTGTAGCCACGCCTTCTTAGGGACTGGCTACAGGTGTGCCTGACCACGATTGTGAGGGCGTGGTCAGAGTGACGTA